TTCTCGATTTTCGCACGTCCCGTGGGGATCCCCATCACGGGGACGGGGTGGGGAAGAATATTCTTTCTTGCGAGACGGGGATAGGGAGATTTTTTTCCCATGAAATTTCGCGAGGAATTTTCCCCGTCCCGCGGGGCCCTGCGGGGATCCCCATCCCCGCGAAAAAATAAAAAAAAATATTTTAAATTTAATTTAATATTTAAAATAAAACCTAAACCCAACTTAAACCCAATTCAATAAAAATTTAATTTTATCAAACTCAACCCAAATATCCAACCCAACCGGCCAACCCATCCGGCCAACCCATCCGGCCAACCCATCCGGCCAACCCAATCCAACATCCTCCCATCCGGCCTATCCAACCCAACCCAAATATCCAACCCATCCGGCCTATCCAACCCAACCCAAATATCCAACCCATCCGGCCTATCCAACCCAACCCAAATATCCAACCCATCCGGCCAACCCAATCCAACATCCTCCTTACAACTTGTAACCCTAATTAATCCCCCTTCCAACCCTAATTTCATAACTTTGGTAATTTCCCCTCCCTTTCTCCTCAGTCCTCACTCACGTCGCAGACAGCCCCTCACTCACTCTTTGTTTCAACCGGCCAATCAAGCTCTAAGTCTCACCTCACCTTCAACCTTCCTCTCCCTTTCTTGCTGCTACAGATCTACTACAAATCTGCTGTTGGAGATGCTACAAATATGTTGCTGGAGCTGTTACAGATCTGCTCCTGGAGCTGCTGTCAAAGCTGTTAGCTGCAGCCTGCAAATCTGCTGGAGTTCATCCTGTTGACTGCTGAACTTTGTCTCTGCACTTACTCTCTGCTGCTTGTTGCACTGTGCCGGGCTTGCTCTCTACTGCTTGCTGCATTGTGCCGGACTTGCTGCCTATGCCGGACTCCCTCTCTGCTTGCTGCACTGTGCCAGACTTGCTCTCTGCTTGTTGCACTGTGCCGGACCCCTCTCTGCTTGCTGCACTGCGCCGGACTTGCTGCCTGGGCCGGACTTGCTCTCTACTTGTTGCACTGTGCCGGACCCCTCTCTGCTTGCTGCACTGCGCCGGACTTGCTTTCTGCTTGCTGCACTGTGCCGGACTTAAGGGTTATGTTTGTGCCAGATTTCCTCTATTTGTGTTAAATTAATTTTTATTTATGTTTGATGTAAAAAGTATATACTTTGTTATTAATTAGTGGGGATCCCCATTCCCCGCAGGGAACGGGGACGGGGGGCAAAATTTGCCTCCCGTCAAAAATCCCCGCGGGGATCCCCGTCCCCGCCATTCACGAGGATGGGGACGGGGAGGCACTCCCCGGTTCCGCGGGGCCCCGTTGACATCCCTATCGCCATATGAGATTTTGAGTGAATTTAATTTTCAGCTTCAGCCATGGCTGGAGAGAGCAGAGCTGGCTCCTGGTTCAGGGCTTAGAGCTTACCTGCCAAATGCAAATCACACAGTAGGCCCATAGACCATAATGCAAAATCGAAACCAGAAGGTATGGATGGGCCTTGAAACTATTTAATGGGTTTGAAGGAGCTCACCTTAGCTTATATGGGCCAAGTTAGTAAATTGATTAGTTTGGGCTAAAGAATATTGCTCTTCTGCAAAAGCTCGAGTGACCCAAATAAATTGGTGACATTTTCACAATTGAAACTCTAGTTTTTTTTAGAAGTAGAAGTTAATATTATGTACTTTTTTTCATATACAAGCTCGTGATATAACTGATATTTTCTCGAGCTTATATGATAAAGAATAGGCACCTTTGTTACTAGACCACTATGCTATGTATTTGTTATTTCCACAAAGACTAATACAAGGTTTCATGTTTTGGTTAGTAAAGGAATTTGTTACGATGTTATTGATCAAAATTTCAGTTTATTAATTAAAAACCATAGAGAGGTAATTCTTCGTATTTCAACCCAAACCCAAGTCGTGCTGCTCGACACAATCTTCTTCTCTAGCTGTCCTGCAATATCCAATATAACAGTGATTCATATATATGTGTGTGTGAAAAAAAAAAAAGAAGAAGATATTTTTATATTAAAATATTAAAATATTCAATCATATTTATTGAATGTATAAAGTATTATATGAGTTTAATTTTATTAAATTCATCATATAATTATTATTAAAAATCTTGATATTTTTTAATATTATAATATATGTTAATTTTCCCTTTTCCTTATGCATATAACAAGTGAATTCTTTATACCTAGAAAATCTCTATACATGTGAGAAGAATTGGAACTATGCCAAATATACATTAATTAAATCAAGAATGCAATGTTCCCCACTTCCCTTATCTCCTTACCCTTTTGGGGCTGGCAACTTGGCATAATTATTTAAATTTACACATTTCTTTTTTATATATTCCCCATCAAGATCACCCGATCCATATCTTTATCCAAACCTGAAAAAGGGTTATTTATCGTGTATTGATCCAGCCGATTTCCTTGATCAGCCGATTTCCTTGATCTCTAATTCAATTCTTCCCATTTTTCTTGCCTTCTCATTTAATTACAACTGTATTTGGTCAATCAATGATGCAAGCTTGCTGATTGTGGGTTATCAATTTCTTTTCTTTTCTTTTCTTTACCAAAAAAGAAAAATTGTGCAAGCAATGTAAACTATAGCTATTTGTTTACTTATTTTATGTTAAGTTTGAGATTATTGTGAAGTATAATTGTAGAATTTTTAATATTTTAGTATAAAAAATTATATCATTATTGGATAATTATTTTTAAAAAAATTATTTGTAGAATTTTATATTATTATTATTATTTGTAGAATTTTCAATCAATGATGCAACCTTGTTGATTTTGGGTTATGAATTTTCTTTTCTTTACAAAAAAAAAAAAAAGGAAAAGAAAAATTATGCAAGCAATGTAAACTATAGTCATTTGTTTACTTATTTTATATTGTGATTGAACTTATTGTGGAGTATAATTGTAGAATTTTTAATATTTTATTATAAAAAATTATATTATTATTTGATAATTATTTTAGAAAAAGTTTTATATATTAATATGACTATAAAATTATATAAAATATCAATTAAAATTAGTCTAATTATTATAAATTAACACTTTTATAAAATGTTGTGGAAAAAAACACCATAAAAGAGTAACCCAAACGCAACTTTAATTTGCCTCTTGAGTCCGTTGTTGTAAGCTAAAGGGATTCTATTTCCTTTAGCTTCTTTTTTGTAGGAACTTCTAATTGAAGAATACCCAATAAAGAGGGTCTTCTTTTCTAACTTGTTTGGTATATAGGGAAAAAGAAATGGAGCTCCTTATTTTTCTACATATTACCTCAATCATTATTGTTGATAACATAAAATGAGGGAAGTAGAACAAATGTATTGTCCATAAGGACTTTGATGAATTTGACATGGCTAAAATTAAGGTTTCAATTCAACTTCCAAGGATAACATGTTGAAGCCGCCATGGAGGTTTTTTAAGGGACAATCCCATGATTGGAAATTAAAACTTTTAAGTTATAAATTTTTTGTATCCAAATTTAGAGAAAAATAGAATGGATTTTAGGAGACGAGGATTGGTTGTACAATCCATACTCTAGAAGCTTAAGATAAAAATGGAACAAGAAGTCAATTCAATGACTTCCTTACAAAAGCTGGCTTTAGAATTCTTAATTAATTACTTAGTAAAGAAAAGTATATTCTTAATTACCTTCTATCCTTCTATCATGGGTATGTAATAAAAGAGTG